TCATAATCTTCAGTGAGAAGAATGTTTGCTATACTTCCCTATTTTTTTTTTTTTTTTTTTAAATATTTATATTATGGGATGTCAGCCTCCTTAATTACACTGTTTTCTTCATGAACCAAACATGTCCAGTTATAAATATTCAAATTTTCTCTTCTTTGTTTTCAAGATAATAATCATTGTTCTAAAAGCAGAATAAAAACATTGCTTCCTATCTAAGAAATGAAAGATGTAAGCCGCTTATCAATGTCCAGTCCACTCTCAAATCACTTAATAGAGAAAGCAATGCTTGTTTGTAATGTTGTATTGCTTGCTAAGATACAATGCCAAACATCTGAGTAGAAATGATAAAGAGAAGTAGGGATAAAAATGTAATCATTGTTTCATTAAGTAAACAAAATTAAACACAAATGACACAGGATGAGAAAAACTAAAATTTCAAGGCAAAAAACATGGAGAGCTACTTATGGAGGATATTTTTCAATTCATTATTGGAGCTCAACCATAAAATTGGAGCAATAAATTATCACCCAAACTAGAAAAAAAAATTCAAGAAATGGTACAGCTGAAGGGCTTTGAAGAAATGTGATTTAGTCTGTTGTACTTGGGAGAGTACTTTAAGGGTCCAATATAACAGATTTTTTTTTTTTTCTAAACAAAGGCCTGGAGTATGTTACTCTAAATTGAACATACTATTTTTTTTTTTTTTAAATAATATGATAGAATAAACATTTTCAAAAGTTCAAGAATAAGAAAAATAGATTCCATAGCTAACAAATAAATCAATTTCAAACAACTGTCATGAACTCAGCTGTGTAAATGATCATTCTATCAGTTATTATCAGAAGTCTTGAATGAAACATTAAAACAAACATTTTTAAAATATGTTTGTGAAGGATGATAAGAATTTATTTTATGAGGTTAATAATTAATAATTACGATAGACAAAATTCATACTATAAATGTAAATATTTTTTTGGAAATCTGAATTTTCCACTGACCTTTGACTTCACTGGAAAAAATAAAAACAAATGGTTTGGCGCTTGGAAATTTCCAGCTCAATGTCTAGTCTACCTTTATCTATGTAATGACAGAAAATCTGATGAATTTTAGTATAGTTCTTTTAAAATTATTTTTAGTCGAGTTCTATCATAAATGTTAAAGGCTATATCATGATATCCAGCTCGTTTTTACCAAAATATAGCATACCTTAAAACTATATTTTTATTATATTTAAATGCCAGCAAAAATGGCAAGTCTGAGTTGAAATTTTTAAAATAGATTCACTTGTTCTAGGATTAAGCAGGAATTTAGGATTAATCAAAGAATATAGTTTTCTACAGAAAAAAATTCCCCCCAAAAAAGAAAGTCCCACTTCATTTTTCATTTCTTGTCTTATTGAGAAAAGACACAGATGTGTCCAAAATTCCAATTTTTAAAATCTTTCTCATCATGCTTCAATTTGGTCAAAAGGATGACTAAATAATATTTTGTGTTATTATCAATATTATTATTTTTGCTGCTTTTCTTATCTCTCAAAATTCTTTCACCAGCCTATTTTATATATATATATATATATATATATATATATATATATATAGTTGGCCACTCGTATTAGAGGATACCTGTCTACTAGGGTGGCTAGCCAATCCCTATTGCAGACACTTGCTCAGGCACATTTGGGTTTGCTCAACACTCACAGAGCCAACCTGTGGTTTATACTGCAACTATGCTGGGCAGACTTTAATTTCAGTTTCTGTGAGAGAGTGTGTTATCTAGCATGATCAACCTCTTGAACAAGGCCAGCACACTCAAGCCCTCAGCCATGATGACTTGCGGCTTTGTGCTAGCACAGCTATTGACAGCCCTCAAGAGTTCTGTCTACCAAATTTCAGTCACAAAGCTTGGCTCAAGCCATGATATGATTTTCAGGCACTTTCTAAAATGGTGGTGCACGCTGGAGTCGACCTCAATCCATTCTGATAACATCAGGAAGTGTCCTTCCTGACAAATCGACAATGATGAGATTCGAACATGGGTCTCATGGTCAGAAAGCGAACATTCTAACCACTCAGCCATGTGCCCATATTATATATATATATATATATATATATATATATATATATATATATATATACACACACACACACAAATAAGTGAGATGACACAAACCCATTAAAAGAGTTATTAAATTCAGCTGACAAGGTCAGTGTGTTTAATTTTTAATTTTATTTTCAAATTGTCTGTACATAGAGATCCAATTCGTGCTTAACATGTCCCAAGTTCATGTTTTTATTCAAGTACTTTCAAACATCTGTTATTAAAAACTAAGTGTTACCGGTTTCGGAAATAGAAGTTTTATTACCAACATTCTAACACTTTCATAATGCTACATTTCAAATTTAAATATACACGTAGCATATAAAAGATGTCAGCTTCCTAAAGCTTGATGGCTTTAGAGAATTTTTACAAATGACACAATCACTCTGATAAAACCAAAAATTAAATATTAACTTATTTTATCATCATCAGATGCACCTTAACTAAAGGCAAGATGAAAAAGCCCTTAAAAATATAATTTGCTTGTACAAATTAATGAGGGTAATAAATACATTAGGTTTGTCATTTACTAGAAAAATCTTAAAATATCTAACCTTTGCAGTAACTTGAGGCCTCAAAACAATGTTTTTAAATTCATGTCTGTTGGGAGATGGCAACTCCAATATCAATGATTAAAAAAAAATAAAAAAATCATCTTACATTGGTCACACATACACCACATATTCTTATAGGTTGACTTGTCACTTAACAAAATTTAGTACTTTTTATGCACATATTGATTATTACATCTCAAATACAACCATTGATTTGTTTTTTGTTTTTTTTTAGCTTATCAACCTTTGCATGTAAGGCCAAAAATTAAGTTGTAAGAATTTTTTTTAGATGTAATAATGATTTTTACTGATACAAGTCCTACTAATTAACCCACAGCTGGGGGGAAGAGGTGGATTCATACCTTTCCCAAGGGTATTTGCAAGTAAGTTAATATTATGGACCTGACTGGAATTGAAACTTGGCTCTTCAATTTCCAATTCCATGCTGTTATCCATTACATGACCATACATCTTATCTTACAGCACCTGGTATTCCTAAGGGGGTCACCCATCTAGGTAGTGACCAGGCTCAATGTTGTTTAACTTTGGTGATCGTACGAGAACCAATGTTTCAACATGATATGGCCCTAAATCTAATGTAAATATTAGTAGATAGTACTGAAATAACACAATGCTCCCCTGTAAAGATCAACTAAAAATACTTGAGGCCATTATTACACAAAAGAGTTAATCTATATTAAGTATCTTTCACTGCAGGCGATAGCATTTTAAAACATGTATGAAATAATATACTTATAAAATATTTAATACATACATTCTTTGGCTGTGTCAAGCTCTGTGAAACCATTCTACACACGGTGTCACTTAAACATATATTTGAAATTAAAAAAAAAAAAAATAACAGGACGTAACTAACAAAACTTCTGTCAATGATACCAACAATATTTAGCTGTTGATAACAGAGACGATTGTAAGTACTTGAAGACCAAACAAAAACATGAACTTTGGACAATTTATCCACAATTTTGATCCAAATGTGCAGCAACATATTCAAAAATTGGAATTAAGAGAGAAATTGGTAACTACATAAAAAAAAAATGTTATATGAATTCTTGCTGTACACACATACACAAACTTATTCAAGAAAAAAAAAAGTAACTGAAGTAGTTTTGCAATTGCATTTGGTTATATTTTTGACACAATTTAGGATTTTTTATCAAAAAAAAAAAAAAAAAAAAAAATCTAATTTACTGAAACACACAAGAAAAAATTTTTTAAAACATTAAAAGTAAAAAAAATATCTGAAGAAAGCCAATACAATCCATACTCTCAAAAATGACAAATATTAAAGTAATTTTGCAATTGCATTTGGTTATTTTCTGCAACAGTAATCTAGGACTTTTAATCTGAACATTAAATCTATTACTGCATGTAAGAATGATTCCTGCTTTCTAAAATCAGTAAAAACAGCAGCCAAAGATAGCTAACACAATGAACAAGAAATAAAAACCAAAAGACTAGCAAACTGTTTTCACTACATAGTAAAAAGGGATTTTGTTGTTCATGTGGCACAAACTATATACTTTAATCATTTCAAACTATTGCTCTCATCTTCATTGTTATAGTTGATAGATTCATTTTCTCTATCTTAACCCTTTATTTAAAGCCAAAAAATATTTAAAGTTTTTTTTTTTTGATAACAATGGTCGAGTAGTGATACACGTTTTACTAATTAACCCATAACTGGGGGGAGAAGAGATGGATTGATACCTTTCCCAAAGATATTTGTGCATAATTGAATATAACAAACCTAAGTGGAATTGAAACTCATCTCACTGTTTAACAATTTCAAGCCATTATCCATTACACTACCCACACATCCAAGCTTAGAGTACCTGGTATTCCTAAGCAGCACAACAATTTTGGCCAAATACGCACTGGCCATCAGGTATGCATTGTTTTATCATATCAGTTATTCTTGATCTAGGGATTGAACTCATGACCACTTGATGACAGTAACACATGTTTAACCAACTCTTATATCAACTACACCATCCCGAAGGACATCAGGGTTGACACCTATATTCAGTTTCCAGATGGGTTCCACGTTTGGCTAACATGGTGGATAATCAACAGATATTCTGTATCAGCCAAAACAATGGACACCTGATGATGAAAAGTGGGTACTTTAGAGAAATGTCATGCCTATCATAACATCTATAACAATCAAGACGAGAACAATAGTTTGATGTAAAAATATATCGACAATTAGTCATCCCAAAAATGAAATACAAAACACAAGCTATGCCCTCTTATTGTCATCAAGAAATGTCTTGCAACCATAACAATGGCATACCTCATACAAAAACGAGATCAGGTTATATGACCATACATAAAGTTACACTGTGTTTTACATTTCAGATAGGAAAAATATCAAGTTCATATACGCTACCTATATAAAGTCAAATGACATTAAATTAATAAACAGAAGACAGAATTTTGGACAAGAACTACTGGCCTCAAAGAGAAGAACTCCTTCAGGTTGACAATAATTAAAAATACAAAAAGCCAAATATACTGTGCAACTGTAAAGAAACCAAAAGGAAGAGGTCAACATAAGAGAGAGATATATTAAGTCAACTTACTTCTGACGTTTCGCCGTAGCCTTCTTCCTCGTCTGAATCTACCATGCTTTCCGTTAATCCACTGTAATCCAAGTCTACATTCTCCTGTCCATCAATTGATGAATGCATGTCCGAGCCAGAATAGGCACTGGATGTGTCACTGGCTCGAGAGTTGCGCTTCAAGCGTTGGTCTCTAAAACATTGCTCTGCTGCTGAGAGAGGCATGTGAGTCAGATGGGGAGGAAGCTTAAAAAAAAAAAAAAAAAAAAAAATATATATATATATATATATTATTCTCAAAACTGTTATAATGTTCCTAAACCTTTGCATGCAAATATCAATAAGTGTGCAACCTAAGGATGAAAATAATAGCATTTATTCCCTTGTCAATGCACTTAATTCAACAGTGAATATTCAACACACAAATATACAGTAAAATTTCAAATGAACATACAACTATGTAGCAGGCTATAAACTTACTGATACACTCTCTCTCTCTATATATATATATATATATATATATATATATATATATATATATATGCGCAGATGTTCAATTGTAACATACCAAAAAACAAACAGGCAAAACCAGTTTCTTTCACTTATGGAACTCTTCCGGATCCTTGCATTCCAGTCAACTTTGAATCTGCTACGAGGAAAGTTGGTTTGCTGTGTCATGTTAGACAATTTTTTACTCCTGAAATTATCTTACAGATTTTTAAGTCTAGCATTCGTCCATGCTTTGAATATTGCTGTCACATAAGGTCTGGTGCTCCAGCTACATATTTAGAAATTCTTGATAAAATACAAAAAGAATCTGCAATGTCATTGGTCCTGACCTTGCCTCTTGGTTTCAGTCATTTTCCTACCACCGTAACGTATCACTCCCATACTTTTTCTATATATATTTTCATGGTAATTACTTGTACGAGTTTCTTCGGCACCTAGACTTTAAGTGCAGTACTAGATTATCGGCAAGGACCTATCATTTTACAGCAGAACTGGCTAAATATAACCATAAGTTCTATGCTAACAGTTTGCTATCTCGCACTTCTCGCTTGTGGAACTCTCTTCCTGGGTCTTGCTTTTCATTCCGGTGTCCTTCAGGCGGTTGCGCAATCCGTGTCCTTCGGCGGTTGCGCAATCGTGTCCTTCAGGCGGTTGCGCAATCCGGTGTCCTTCAGGCGGTTGCGCAATCCGGTGTCCTTCAGGCGGTTGCGCAATCCGGTGTCCTTCAGGCGGTTGCGCAATCCGGTGTCCTTCAGGCGGTTGCGCAATCCGGTGTCCTTCAGGCGGTTGCGCAATATGTCAGTCATTCAGCAAAATCACTTGTCTGGTACCCTAGAGTTTCCAAGATTTTCCAAGATTCCAGATTTGACAACAAAAAAAAAAAATTTCATTTTACATAACAATATAAAAAAAGGAAAACTGTTGACATGAATTGAAAAGGTTAAATTGAATAAATTACAAGTTGTTTTTTTGCTAGGAAAGAAGGTTAACTGTATGTGCTAGACAATTCTTCTCACCATTATCGATCTTACATATTTGTAAGATCAATCATTCGTCCACACACAGAATATTGCTACAGCATCTGATCTGGTGCTCCTGCTACATTTTTAGAGATTCTTGATAAAATCCAAAGAAGAATCGACAATGTTATTGGTCCTGACCTGGCATCTTGGCTTCAATCAATTCCCCACCACTGTAATGTAGCTTCCCTGTGTCTTCTCTATAAATATTTCCATGGTAATTGTTCTGATGAGCTTTCCTCTCTAGCATCTTGACATTATGAATCTAAGCACAGTACTAGATTGGTAGACAGGTTTCATCATGTCAAAGTTGAAATGGTGAGATGTAACCATAAGTTCTATGCTAACAATTAATTTTCTTGCAATTCCTGCTTGTGTAACACTCTCCCCAGCTTCTTGCTTACCAGTCAAGTTTGATTTTTGAAAATTTAAATGCAATATCGTCATCTTCTGTTTACCTAATACTTGTTCTTTTGTTGTCTCTCTACTTAATGTGTTTCTTCTGATACTTTCACCCTCAGTAAAACCTTGTGTCTTAGTGGCTTTATTGACTTGAGGGATGATAAGTAATTATGATTCTTACAGCCAATACGTTAAGAATTTTACAGCTCTCTACATTTTTTTTTTTTATAAAAACTAAAAACTTACTTGGTCAGTACTGGATTCGGAATGCGTACGACAAAACTTCATGTTTGCCTCCCCTCCAGCTCCAGGGTGTTCTGGAGGTACATTCATAGTGGTACCTCCACCGTGGCGTTGCTGCTGCTGCTGCTGTGAACCACCTTTCAGAAGGTGAACATCAGGATAATCAATCTGCCCAAAGAGAAAAAACAAATATCAGTTCCAAAATTCTGTTTCCTCCAATTTTGCATCCGGATGTTGACAAAAAGGAAAATCCACTCTTAGATATCATATTTATAAAAGATATGTCTTTTTTCTTTTTTTAAAGATCAAGTGGATTATCAGGTTACTGCACAAAGATGACAAACTTTATTGTAGTCATTCTTGTACTTGTATATCTTACTTATTATAAAAACGCAGATTGTGTGCGTGTGTGTGTGTGTACGTTTATATATTGGATCGGATTTCCTACATTTTTCAACCAATTTCAACAAAACTTCACAGGACTGCATAAAATTACCTTGCGGTGGTTCTGACAGCACCAAAAATTGGAAAAACAATTGTTTTTGCATGAAATAAATTTGAAAACACTTAAAACACGATTCTGTCACCAGAATAAAAGGGGGACAACTCATATCGAGTTATACTTATTATAAAACCCAGGTTGTGTGTGTGTGTGTTTATATATGGGATCGGAGTTCCTACATTTTTCAACAGATTTCAACAAAACTTCACTTTTTTTTTGGCAGGTAGTATTTCTTATTGTCTTGCACACTTTTTCTTTATTTTTACATCTAGAATGCTTTAAAAATTCCATTTACAAGACAATTGTTTATAATAAAATTCTATTCAATCGATAGACTCATAACGATTGAAAACAATGTTTTTATTTGAGTTTGGGTTTGACCAATTTGTAAATAAAAAAAACCCCAAAAAAACAAAAACTAATTAAGACATGCGTATCCGTCAGCCTTAAACAATAATCTTTGTCAATTTTATTTTTCAGTCTTTATGATGGTCGATACTTGATCTATCTCTTACTGTTACATCCCCGGGCAACGCCGGGCTCTACTGCTAGTTTATACTAAATATAATAGTCATGACAAGAAGTTGTATATCCAATGATGACTGGGCACTTCAACTTGGTGTAATAGCAAGCTTGTCTTGTTAGATCAATTACAAATGTATAGTGAGGTTGATCCTCACTGAGTACCCCATACTTTTGGCCTTGGGCCACATCTAAGCTACACTCAAAAAAACTGCTATGCAATGATGATTAATTTTCAAGTAGGGTGATTGTTTATATCTTATATCAGTGCTTTTCAACCAATTTCTCATGATCCCTGGGTGTGTCAGTACAAGTCGAAGATTTCATGAGATTTTAAATTCAAGCTGATGCAGGAAAATAAAAGAAAGTCCCATATTAAAAAAATAAAAATAAAAGAGGTGACAAAAACTGAGAAAATATACTCGGCATAGAACTGGATTAGCTATAAAGTTTGTGCTGTTTATTAAGTAAATTTTCTGCTTAATAAGCGAACAATCTATTTGGCCAAACCAATAGTTTTCTTTGAGAGATCTTAACCAAAAAAAGTAAAAAATAAAAGATGACTGTCACTGTTAATTATTGTATCTAAAAATGAAAAGTTGAAAAAAGAGGAAGGCAAAGAAAAGGATGGAAATCTAAGGATAGACAGGTTTGTGATTTGTTTTTTTATGGTTTATCAACCTTGTGCAGGTTATATAAAGCCTGAAAATATTTTTAGATTGTAAGAATTTTTTTTTTAAGAATATGATTTACTGACAAGTCCTACTATATAACCCATAGCTGGAGAAGAAGAAATGGATGCATACTTTTCCCAACATTTGTGTGTAAGTAAAAATAACAAACTTGGAATACAGCTTCTCTATATCCAATTCTGAGCAGTTATACATTATGCCACCCGACATCCAAACCTTCAGCAACTGGTATTACCAAGCAGTTACCAATCTAGGTACTGACCAGGCTCCACATTGCTTAACTTGGTGATCATGCAAGAATAGGGGGTTTCAATGTGATATGGCCATAAGCCTAAGAAAGATTGAAGGAAAGAGAGTCATTATTTAGTTTTTTGGGGTTTTTTTTTTTTTGTCTTTTATACAAATGCTATTGTAAAATTGGGGAAAATAAAAATGATTTTGACTTTGAAAGCACTATCCAAATTTGTGGTCCTATTTGTCACAATTTGTTTTGGATCAACAAGTATATATCTTCTTGAGTCAACAACACTCAAGTCAAGTCTGCTAATGGTAACATGTAACTCAGTACAACTGGTGACATGAATGGTTGGTCGGCATCTAAAGCACCCCCCCCCATTAGCTTTTCAGCTGATGAAGAAGGTGGCACCTCATCCCCAAAGGACAAAAAAAAAAACAAAAAAAACAAAACAAAAAAAAAAAAACAAGACTTGTCAAATGTTCAAGAAATGCTACTAAAGAAAAATTTACAGTCTCTTGACAAGATTTAAATTTACGTCCCTCTGTTAAATCCGATACATTTTCAGGGTTGGATTATGACTTTTTGGAGCACCTAGGTTAACGTAATTAATGGGCTCTCCTCAGACAGTCACCCTCTAACTCGCTGGAATATTTTTATTCCGATATATTTTAGCAACATTTACAAAGCTTGAAGTAAACTTATTGCAAATTCTTTAGATAAACTAGAATAGCTATCTTTTGTTTGTCAATAAAAATATTCTTTAAGAAATACCATTATTTTACTATTTATTGCAAACCAAATTAGCAGATATTTCAACACAAGTGTAGTAAAAAAAGAAAAAAGAAAAAAAAAATAATAGTTGGTTGGAAACAAACTTCCTGACCAACTTTTAATAAAAATATATAAAAAGTTATGCTGGAACTTAGTTTCCAACCCAATATTTAAAAGTTCTAACAGCAAGAAAGTTAAAAAAAACACTGCTTTAAAAAAAATTCATAAGATTTAAACTTCCTGAACGAAAAGAAAAAAAAAAAAAAAAAAAAACATTTTATCTACTTGAAACACAATGACACAAACTAAAACATTCTTTTTCCTTGCTTTGCTTTCCACAAGTCAAATAAATAGGAATTTGTAATAAAATCATTTCAATTTATGAAACTATTTAAAAGATATAACATCTAAAAAGTTTAAAATCATTGCTTAGAAAAGCTTGAGGCACCTTGGGCTGCAGCCTATACTATAGGCCTATGGGAAAATCCAGCCCTGATGACTATATATTCTGGTCAGTGGGCATTATAGGTAGCAAGGTCAGGTATATCCAGTTTACTGCCTTATCCTAACAGACAGTGGGTAGGTTAATATTAATAAGAAAAAATTCAAAAGTTAACAAAGAACACTACACAATAGCTACAAGTATTTCTATGCTATGGCCTTTAGAATAATTTCAAATATAACTGTTGCTGCTTATTCAATAACCATTAGGATAACACAAACCAGAAATACCCACAATGACCCATTGATCAGCAGATATAGTAATATCTGCTGGCCACCACATGGCCTGATGAAACAGACTGTTGCCACTCAGTATTGACTTCAGTGTCCATGTGTGTGCGAGATATCAAGTTGGGAAAATGGGCCAAGCACCCCCAACACAAACACACACACAAAAAAAGAAACCATGTGGACAAAACCACTTCAAAAGAAATGAAAAACTTTACTTAATAGATATGATCATTAAGTGGCAGTGTCTGTCTTTTCAAGAGGCTGGGAAGATGTTTGCTTTGGTATATCCAAAGCTTTCACAGATTCATTGGTGCATAAGTTTTTCCTAATGTCAATCCATATGTCAGAGGAGTGCCATCTTCAAAGAATGTTCTTTTGCTAAGCATTTAATTCATTTGGTGAATCTGTAGAAAAAAAAGCTGTGTACAAAAAGGGTAAGGTTTAATGTTCTAAACCAATATCATTCAGATGAGAAAGCAACATTATTGTTTTTCCTGTTAAGTTAGAAAAGTTAAATTAATTTAGTTACAGAATCGTTATAATTCATTCACCAATTTTATTTTCACTGCACACCAAGCAATGCTTTTTAGTTAATAAAAAATATATAAATAATTATAATAATAGTAATAATAACAGTTAAGAGAAGAGCATGATTTAAGAAAAGATAAAAGAAAAACACATCTTTTCTTAAATTGGAAGAGTTACGGCAATCAGGAGGAGGAGGAGGAGGTGGTGGTGGTAGTAGTAGTAGTAGTAGCAGCAGAAACAGCAAGAACGCCGTTCTTTTTTGTTTTTTTTTTTACCTTGCTTGGAATTAAATGATTGAAAAAAAAGTAGCCAAACAAGTTTGATTAAATTCATTAAACAAGGTCTGTGATTAATTTTTTTTTTTTTTATTGTATTTTTTCCAATTTTTGAATAAGATGTAGTTTATCAAGATGAAAATTGTGGATAAACTGTCCAAAGTTCATGTCTGTTGTATTATTTTTGTTCAAGTTCTTTTGACTGTTTCAGTCATTATCAAGAGCCAATATTTATTTACATTTACCAACAATGGTTGGCCTTTAATCTAAAACTTGTTTGATTTATTTTCTTTAGCTGAAAAAGACCTTTGTTTTCTTTTTCAAATATTCAAATCCTTTTTGGAAGAATTTTACAGTCATTGACTGTGAAACAGGAGATTTTCTTGCTGTTCTGATTTTGAATACAATGTGTATAAAAAAAAAAAAAAAAAAAAAGGAAAAAACACCGAAAAACTAATTTAATCCAAGACAAAACTATTGAAAAGAGTACAATTTACATGCTTATTAACTTTCTACACATCTAAAACAAAACACAAGTTACACTACATAACATCTATACTAAAATGTCCAATGACTAACCCAAATATTGCATCCAGATTCTTATGGTATTTTATTAATGAAAATATTTCATATTAATTTAATCAAAACACAACTAATTAAAAAATTAGTTTTACTTTAACTTTTTTTATTTTTGCATCTTGAGGATTCAGCATTATAAAAATCATTTTTATACTGAAATTCATTCAATACAAGGCTCAAGAGTCACTCAAAGAAAAGGGTTACTGTTAGACTGGTTATGATGAATGAGGTGTGTAATAAAGGAGGGAGTG